ATTTCAAAGACGCCACAATCGCACACCTATACAAGCAAATAGGAAACCGCCAGCTCTGCGACAAACACGGAGGCATCCCGCTGCTGAACATCGTTGGGAAATCTTTGCCAACATTCTCCTCAACCGTCTGAATAATCACCTATAACAGGGTCTCTTGCCGGAAAGCCAGTGAGGCATTCACCGTCATTGTGGAAGCACGGACATGCTCTTCGTCGACCGTCAACTGCAGGAGGAGTGTCAGGAGATGCGGATCCACCTGTACTCTACTTTTGTGGATTCGACGAAAGCCATCGACACGATGAATCGTGAAGGATTGTGAAAAATTATGCGGATCGATTCACTCAGATGGTGCATCAGCTCCATGGTAGCACGAGTCACGGACAATGGAGCTGTCTCAGTGGCATTCGCAGTGACCAACGGAGTGAAGCAGGGCTGCGTCCTGGCGTCTACCCTCTTAAGTCTTCTGTTATCTGCCATGCTGCTGGAGGCCTACCGTGACGAACACCCTACAAGACGGGCGATCAACGCCTCAACCACAGGCGGATGCACTTTCAGTCGCGTTTATCCACATCGACGGTCCATGAACTTATCTTCGCTGATGACTGCGCTCTCAACGCCACCTCCGAAGAGGACATACGCAGGCACATGGACTTCTTCGCAGCCGTCTGCAACAAATGTGGCCTCAGCATCCACTTGGGGAAAGCGGTGGTTATGCATCAACCGCCGCCCGACGCTGTCTTCGTTGAATCCGAAATAATCATGAACGGAACCCAAATGCAAGTGGTGGACAACTTCACCTATCTGGGCAGCACCCTCTCTTGCAAAACCAAAATCGACGCTGAAGTCGCCCGCTGAAATTCCAAATTCACCCAAGCCTTTGTCCGCCTACAAAGCACAGTTTGAAATCGACACATCAGCACGAAACTGAAGATGTACATGACAGTCATCCTGCCGAAGTTGCTGTATGATGCGGAGACCTGGAGTGTGCACAAGAAGCAGGCGCGGAAACTCTATCATTTCCAACTCAGCTCGTCAGTGAATACTAAGGCTGAAATGACAGGACCGAATCCCGGACACCGATGTACTGGAGCGGACGGGAATCCCCAGCATCGGCACCGTGCTGGGACAACTGCAACCGCGCTGGAGC